AGTAAAGTCGTCCCAGGAGCGCAACTCAACAATATTGGCAATATCATTTTAAAGTCGTCTACTTTAAAATGCATAATGTATGTCTGAATTGTCAATATAAATGAGTCAGATAAAATTAAATTATTAGAAGAATTTTTCACTATTTAACAAAAAACAAAATTTGTTTAATTTACTGTTTGTATTTTGAGAACGATTTCCGAAGTGGAAATTGAAACGTCAATAAACGTATTTTTTATCTTTAATTGTGGCTTATTCCCAGTTTAATAGTAATTAATTTATAATGCCACAAGAAAATAGCTTCCGAACAACATTGTCCTTATCACAGATCATTTAGAAGAAGCCACAGATATGTTAAATGGACTTTGCATGTTCGAAGTTGGGCCTTAGAATGAATTTGTCCAAAACTAGGTTTATGACAAATATGGTCCCAATAACCATTTAACTATTCAAAACAAAGTGGTAGAACTGGTGGAGAAATATACATATTTAAGTCATGAAATAAGAATCAGCAGTTATAACCAAACATGTAAAATCTAAAGACGAATTACTTTAGCGTGGGCAGCCTTTGAAAAACTGTGAGACACACTTAGGGCCAACATACCAATTAGCCTTAAAAGAAAAGTATTTGATCAATGCCTATTACCGATCATGACCTATAGGGCGGAAACTATGACTCTAGCCAAGACTACGGCTTCGAAATTGAGAGTAGCACAGAGACGAATGGAACGATCTATGCTGGGAGTGACGTTGCGGAACCGAATAAGAAACGAAGATCTGCGAAGAAGGATGAGTATTGCTGATGTTGTGGAACATATAGCGGAACGAAAATGAAATTGGGCAGGCCATGTAGCGAGAATGCATGACTCACGATGGACGAGCAAAATTACACATTGGAGGCCAATAGCAGACAACCAAAGTAGAGTAAGACCACGTACACATTGGGCTTACGACATCGAGCGTATCACGAAAAATTGGCAATAAAGAGAACAAAATCGTAAAGAAGGGAGAAGTTAGACAAAGGCCTATGTCCAGCAGTAGACGTGATAAATGAAGGCTGGATGATGATAATGATGGCTGGAGATTGTGGACTTGCAGGAAGGCATTCATGCAAGTGCATGAAACTGCATCCACCCAAGAATTTTGGAGTAAACATCTTTCAGAGTAATATAAAAACTGCAAGAAATTGGCCATTTACATTGTTGCTTTGTTTGGCACCACATTTCTTTGTGAAACTTCGTTTTGAAAAATGAATTTTTTTAAGAACAAATTATTAATCAAGATTGACCTTGATAAGTGTTCACCTTAAGGACACTATTCGCACTAACTACTTCCAGCGAAAACGTAACAGTAAAAAAACTGGCTCAAGAGCACAAGTGTAAGTTTTCACAGATTTTAAAAATATGTACCTGTTTGTTGTATTTCATACTGTGTTGTGAGTAAAAATTAAAATACGCTAGCAAACCATACGAATACTTTTGGCAAAACTTCGTGATACGCCTCCGTTGAGTGAATAAAATTTAACGTGTTAATTTGATTCATTCGATAGAGGCGTATAAAGAAGTTGCGCCAATTTTTTTTCCTAGACCTCCCCAAAAACTATTTTAAAATATGTCTCAACTCCACCCAAAACTAGTTGTCGATCCCTGCTATAAAAGTTTTACCTTATAAAATGACTGCAAGCGCAAATAAAACTGAGAAACACAACAAAAATAGTAAAAACAGTCTACGCCATAAAAATAGAAACGAGTAAAACAAGAGCACCTGAGAAAGGTTGATACCTAAACGAAACGGAAAAGAAATACGGAAAAAGGAAAAAACCCAAAAGAAAGGCAACAGTCAAAGTAAATAATAAAAACTGAGACATGGAATATAAGAAGTACTTCTTAAAGGCAGGTTTAAGAAACTTAGATCAGATAATGAAAAAATATACAATAGATGCTGTACAAGAAACAAAACAACTGGGAAATGAAATAATAAAAATTTTAAAGAGATTTTTGGAATGAGATTTATGGTGTCCGAGAAATTAAACAAAGCAGTTGTAGATTTTTAAACAATATCAGATCGAATATGTTACTTGATAGTAAGAGGAAAGTATAGAAAAATAAGTATCATTAATGTAAATACGTCGCCTGAAGATAAAGATTTAGAATCCAAAAAAGAGTTTTACGAAAAGCTAAGCACCCTAATAGGGAGCATACAAAAATGCCATATAGAAATAGTACATTGTTTACCGGGTAGGAAAAGCTTAACATTCCTGGACGACTGTGAAGATTGCTAAGTCCAGGCGCAAGCCGAAACTTAGCAACACAGAGTCCAGGAATGTGGCTTTTCCTACGAGGTAAATATACTATTTTTCCGCAAATCGTTTAAAATTCGACAGATATTGATTGATTTAAAAAAAAACGCGATAATTTTATACCCAAATAAATGGTGCTTTGAAATTCCTAATAAAATTACTTGTGTTACTATGGAAACGTATTGAGGTTGAATTGTCAAACTTGTCATCATTTATATAGAACACTAACAACTGTACGGAAATATCATTTCCTTACAGTAAGGAAATGACATTTCCTTACAGTAAGAAAGTCCTGACTTTTTCTTCAAGAAATTTTGTCAGGAATGTCAAAATTTCCTGGCGATTTGCGGAAAAGTGTTTTTACTATTATCTTTACAATTACATAATATTTTCAATTATATTTCTATTCACCAGCAGTTTTCATTTGTGTATCTTTTTTAAGTATTTTACATTCTTTATCACATTCATTAGTAAGATCTTTTTTACGTTTTCTGTACAAAAAATTATAAAACAGTTTAAAAATCAAAATAACAAATTATGGTCAATTTTGGCATTTTATATGCATAACGGTCCCCACTTCATTAGACACACAAATAATTCTTTTGTCGCACTAACACAATTATTGTGGAACTGATAATTGTAAAAATCGGATATTGTATTTATATGAAATCATATTTATATGAAGTTATGAAAATATAAATATGTAAATATCGTTTGATAGTAAGTTTAATTATTATAGTTAGATCTACCAAAAAAAGTGAAACAGTAGGCGGTACTGTAGACTAGCGCTGAGTTTCATACTATGTTTGCTGTACTTTTACTTAAATAATAATATATTGAAAATAAATATATTAATTTTGTTATTTATTTATTTCTTATATTTAAATCAAATTCAGTAATTTATTATCTTTGCTCCTAACGCCACCTGGTAACGTATTAACAAAGAATACGTTGTTTACTTATGATTATGACAAACCTGTCAAATTCAGACCAAATGTATTAATAAAATATAAATAGATATCATTTGATTTAATTGAGTAAATTTAATTATTATATGAGCTAAATAATATTTAAAAATATCAAATTATTTTAAAACGAGAATTATTATTAAAATTTAAACAAATTATTCAATGTTGTTCTTAATCAGAAGACATTATGAGTTTTATTAAATTTTAACAATCGCTTCGAACCGAATCTTTTTAATGACAGATAATCTCTTAATGTTTTACTTTTCATTTAATGTCTGTATTTTTTTAGTTGTTCTTTATTACAGTATTTAAACTTGCTTAGAGTATATATGTAATGACTAGAAACGGATTGATGGAGAGTAGTGACTCGATGTCACGAATCGCTATTCTATGACGCAACCTGTGACAACGCCGCTAGTTTCAATATTTTACTGTAGAAAAAAAACTAATACAACGCCAGTCTAGAAGCTTATCTGCAATAATCATTAGAGACGTAAAACCAAACGTCGGAAGTACGAAAATGTATAGAAGAATAACAGGGGATAAAGTTTGAATAAAGAATTTAATAAAAATGGGTAAAAGTTATTCGTTTTTGATACAGAGAAATGAAAATTGATAAAACAAGTTTTAATTATAAAGATACCGTAACATAGACTTTCTTTGATAGAAATGTGAAAAATAAGATAAATAATATCCTAATAGAAAGCAAACATGATAAGGCAATAGTCGATAGCAGAAGTTACAGAGGAGCAGTTATCACCAGCGACGATATATTAGTAATATGAAAACAATTCTAAAGCTTGTTAAAAATAAATTAAATTACCAATTAGAGCGCCTTTAAAATAAACAGATAGTAAACAGACGAGAGGCAGAAATAAATAACGGGTTAAAGGATCCGGTTAAGCAGAAAGTAGAAGAAGAATGACACACCATACAAACAGCCCTATCGAAAACAGCGGTAAGTATATACTAATATACCATATAAAGAGCCGTCAAGATTGATTACAGATAAAGATAAAGAATGCAGGAATGCTTTGACAAAAATAAACAGGACAAAAGTACAAATAGACAAAGAAAATACCCAAAATACAAAAAGTATGTGGCTAGAAGAAGAGAAGTTAAAAGAAATAGCAGAAAAAATGCAACAGCTAGAAAAACAAATGGAAAACATAGATGAAGTCTAAATAAACACAGGTGAAAATATGTACCAAGAAGTTACGAAATTCCAAGAAATAAAAAAAGATTATATAGTATTGAAACAACAAAGAAGATTTACTTCTAGAAGAAACAACACAAAACAGATAGGTGGAAATCTTCTAAAATCTGTTAAATATAAAATAACATAAGAATCGAGAGAGAAATAAGAATTGGCAAGAAGAAGAAGAAGTCTCCGAGTCTACGAGACAATAAATATATCAGTGATGTATGCCAGCGAAACGAGGCTTTTAAACCAGCAGTAAGAAACGAAAGTAGATATCCTTGTTTGAATCCTTGGTTTACTGCAAAGCCGTGAAACAATCTCCATTTTATTTTTACTTTGGCAGATTTTGCTTCTTATAATCTTTTAACAACTTTTATTAAATCATTGTGTATATTCCTTTTCTCTATTGTTTCTGATAAGTTGTTTACTGCTGTGCTAAAAATAGATATATTTCCTGATAAATTGATCAGGAATTAAAAAACATAAAAAATGTATCAACTAAAGCTTAAGAATAGTAACAATTTGTCTTTTTTAGCTTCTCGGTGCTACATTTGCCCATCTTCTGGCCAGATCAATAAGAAAACTTAAGACACAAATTGAAGTGGAAAGAACAATAAGAAGACAGCAACTGTACGAGTCGCTTTCGAAATCTAACACACTAGAGAAAGTTAGTCCAGTCCTGTACGTACCAGAGTCGTCTGAAGCTTAAGCATTAATGATGTATTTTATTTACCAATAAAAATAATATAGATTTAAATATAGATTGAACCATGGTTTATTTTATTACACTCATTTATATTGTTTTAGTATTTACAGATAAGTTAAATATACGTTTTCCGTTTTTGTGTTTTCTTTACTAGGTCTAGTATGTAGGTTCTTTAAATGTTAATTACATATTATTTTTTAATTAAAATTGTGGTTTGTTTCCATTAAATCAGTTGCTGCAACTACTATCCAAGTATATCTCCTCTAGTCTATCTGTGACAAAATCATCGATCTCTCGTAAATAAGACTTAATCAAAAAATGTTTTCAGAATTCACAGCAAATTGTACCAACAAAGATTATTTTAATTTAATTATGGATTACTCCAAATTATGAATACATTTAACCCTTTCAGTACGGCCGACGGATTTATCCGTCAGTTAAAGAATGTACCCATTGGCCGGCTGACGTATATATCCGACATTGTTTAATCGTGTCCATTGGCCTACTGCCTTATCGATGCGACACCTTCAGTAACTTTCGTTTCATCACAGACGATCGCCGTAATTTTAAGTCAACGTTAGGTTGACCGCATAGCCGGACGGCGGAATATTTCGGCAATGCCGAAAATATACGACGACCGGCGGCAAGGCACGTAGATTGTCTGCATCATGCTTGCATTTTTTTTTGCTGGTGTTAGTCTTACTCGAAATGTCGGTGGAAGAGCGTGCCGGTCCCTCTGAAAGGCCAACACGTGGCCAAAAGCGTAAGCAACAAGATTTCAGTTATTGTGGCTTAGACGAACGTGACATTAGACACATTCTCAACGTTACGGATGGGGATGATTTATACCTTAGTGAAGAAGAGCCATTTCAGAACAGCGGCAGTGAATACCACCCTGATTCCGAAAGTGTTATTTCTGAAGTCTCGTCAATCGACGAAAAAGACGAAAAAGGTTGTGTTTTAAACAATACATAAAAACTAAAAGGCATCGCTTTGGCATAAAATTATACGTTCTTTGTGATTGCGAAACCGGCATCGTTTTAGATTTCATAATATATGCAGGTAAAGCAACAAATATACAAGGCCAAGAAAATCGGAATCTGGGTGTTACGGGAGCTATTGTTGCTAATCTATTAAACCCTTATTTAAATAAAGGGCATTCGTTATTTACTAATAACTTCTATACCAGTCCATCTCTGTCAAATTATCTGTTCCAAAACACAACGAACTCTTGCGGCACGGTACGACAAAACCGAAAACAGATGCCGCTGTTTGAAACGAAGCTAAAAACTGGTGAAGTCGACTGGAGAAGCAGCGATACTATGTTGGCCCTGAAATGGAAAGACCGCCGCGATGTTGTTATGCTGACAACAATGTACGAAAATCAAATTGTAACACTTCCTAAGATAAGCAGAATTACAAAGGAAAACAAAGAAACCTCTATGCGTTGTAGAGTATAACAAGCATATGGGTGCCGTCGACAGATCAGACATGATGATTAGTGGTATTAATTGCACTCGTAAGTCAATCAAATGGTATGTCAAGCTATTCTTTTATTCGTTGGATGTTACCTTACTAAATGCCCACGCAATGTTTTTGACGCAACATGCAGGAACGGTTCCAGTTGCAAAGTTTCACTTACAAGTTATTCGGCAGTTTTTGGAAAGGTATTTTATAGCACTAAGTTTGGCAACCAACGTTTCTAATAAAAATATTTGTTTCAGATATGCAGCAATTAAGGCACAACCAATTCATTTTGATCAAGGGAATTCAAGACTGACAGAACGGCATTTTCCGGAATTGGTTTCAAGGAAAGAGGGAAAGAAAAGCGCTACTAGGAGATGCAGAGTTTGCTCCCAGACAAAGGCAGTACCAAAGAAGAGAAAGGAAAGCAGCTATATGTGTAAAGAATGTGATGTTGGGCTATGTGTAGCGCCCTGTTTTAAGATTTATCACCAATTAGCCGATTTTTTGAAAGTTAACTTTTTATTTCTATTTCCTTTTAGTTTAGTCCTGAGTTTTTTTTTATTATATATTTAGCATTTAAATCTTTGGTTTTTCTTATGTAATAAAGTTTTTTCACTGTATGGTTTCCCTTGTTACTGTTTTTTTTTTTAACTTTTATTATGGTGACGGTTATACACGTCATCCGGCGCAGAGACAATCCAAAATGTGCCGGCGGTAAGGAAAGTACAATAAACAAAGGCCCCGTACTGAAAGGGTTAAAGAACCCGACAAAATTGCCTTTTATAATGCAAGATTTTTAACTCCGCCTGGGATACCGTGGGAAATCACAGTGTCACAGCCGGTCCTAAGCCCGGATAAAGGAGGAAGGTTGGGCAATGGGCTAGTCACCCATTACTGTAGAACAAACCCCGACTACGAAACCTATATAAAAGCCTCGGATAGGACGGTCTTATCGAGGACGACTCAAGCAAAGAAATATGGACTGCTCATTTGGAACATGGAACGTCTTAACCCTAAATAAACCAGGAGCCCAAACATCGCTGCTTAACGAACTTAAAAAATATAAGATACAATTAGCCGCAATACAAGAAACAAAATGGCTAGGCAATGGAATAAAAGACACAAAAACGCACACAATACTCTATAGCGGCAAAGAAAATGGAAAGAAAGAATTTGGAGTGGCTTTCGTAGTAGATAAGAACATCAAAAACAATATCTTAGATTTCGAAGCAATAAATGAGAGATTATGTAGATTGAGGCTAAAAACAAAATTTTTTAACCTCACAATCATTAATGCCCATAGTCCAACAGAAGAACACAACATAACAATAAAAGAGGAGTTCTACGATCAATTAGAAGAAATATACGACAATGCCCCAAAAAATGACATCAAGATAATATTGGGTGACATGAACGCCCAAATAGGCAAAGAAGAACAGTTCGCAGGAATAATCGGCAAACACTCACTCCATCAAAACACCAACGAGAACGGGGAATTCCTAATTAATTTTGCCAGCAGGAAAAACATGATCGTGAGCTCTACGTTCTTTGCTCATCGGGGTGTACACAAAGCAACGTGGATCATGCCAGGTGGAGCGGTTACTAACCAAATTGACCATGTCTTAATAGACAAAAGAGCTGCCACCAACATCCTAGATGTAAAAAGTCGAAGAGGAGCATGCTGTGGATCTGATCACTTGCTGGTACAAGAAAAATATAGATGCAGGATCTCAAGAAACAGAGATAAGAAAGAACAGATAAAAGAGCAGTTGGACATTGATAAACTAAGCCAACAAAACGTTAAACTGAGCTACGAGACAGAAATAACCCAGACACTTACAAACACAGATAACCTAGACATTAAAGAACATTGGAAATAAATGAAGACAAAAGTATTAAATGCAGCAATAAAGACCATCGGTAAAAAGGTAAAGAAGCAAAGGGCAGAATGGTTTAACGAAGAGTGTAGACGGGCCATACACGAACGAAATGAAGCTCACAAGAAATATATGGAAAGGCGAACCAGAGAAAGAAAAACATCTTTCGAGGAGCTACGACGCAGGGCGGATAAAATATGTCGAGGAGAAAAAAGAAAATGGGAAAATAATAAGATACAGAAAATGGAACAAAACCTCCAAAGCAACGATCTAAGGGAGGCATATAAATATCTTCGACAACTAAGAGAAGGATACAAACCCCGAACAAGTCTGTGCAGAAACCAAACAGATAAGATAATTAGTGAACCAACGCAAATAAAATCAGTTTGGAAAAGCCATTTCCAAGCTCTGCTAGGAGCACAAGGAAGCTCACGATCTTCGGATTTGCGGCACATCGAGGAAGGAGACGAAGAAATAAGCAGCCCGACTCTTAAAGAAGTCAAACAAGCAATACAGGCGCAAAGAAACAACAAAGCGCCGGGATTTGACGATGTCCCTTCCGAACTGTATAAATTAGGTGGCGAACATCTAACAACGCAGGTGCACGCGCTCATATCTAAGGTATGGAGGGAAGAAAAAATTCCTAGCGATTGGAAAAATGGGATTATCTGCCCAATCTATAAAAAAGGGGACAAACTTAAATGCGAAAATTACCGCGGCATAACCCTCCTATGTTCGGCCTACAAAATTTTTACATCCATCCTGAATAGGCGACTTCAACCATTATGTGAAAATATTATCGGCGAATACCAGACCGGTTTTCGACAAGGCAGGTCGACAATAGATCAGCTTTTTACAGTAAAGCAAACCCTTAATATAGCTTGGGAACACGATATTGATGTTCACAATATATTTGTCGACTTCAAACAGGCTTATTACTCCATAAATAGAAGCCGGTTATATAACATCATGGAAAGCTTCAATATTCCCTCGAAATATATCCGACTAGTAAAAGCAACGATGGACTCCACAATAGCAACTGTACGCATACAGTACGAATTAACTGACAGCTTCGAAATAGTTCAAGGGCTGAAACAAGGTGATGGACTAGCTCCAACACTGTTCAATCTGGCCCTTGAATATGTCATCAGAAAGCTGAATGTCGGAAGAGCCAATCTCCTAACAAACAAATCTGTCCAGCTCGCCGCATATGCGGATGACATTAACCTCATGTCCCGCAGAGTGGATGATGCAGCAGAAACATATTCGCAGCTGAAAAAAACGGCCAAGGAGATTGGACTTGAAATAAATACACAGAAGACAAAAATACTAACACAGACGCGGACAAAGCGAACAAGAAATCAAATCAAAGTAGAGGATGACATTGAAACAGTGAAGAGTTTTACTTATCTGGGAGTTGAAATGAATACGAAGGGAACAGAAGAGGCCGAAATTCAGAAGAGAATAATGAAGGGAAATAAAGATTATTTTTCCCTGATTAACATATTCCGCTCCAAGACGGTACATCGAAAATCGAAACTTAAGGTCTATAAAACTATCATCAGACCGATAGTATGCTATGGATGCGAGACATGGGTTTTGACAGAAAGCACTAAACGAAGATTAGAGGTTTTCGAGAGAAAAATCCTAAGGAAGATCTTTGGACCCATCACTCAAAATGGGATGTGGAGATCTAGATATAACCATGAACTCTACCAACTGTTCAAAGAAGCACCTATTGCAGAGTTCGCTAGAGTACAAAGGCTTCGATGGGCTGGTCATGTGGTACGGATGGATGCCGACAGATTGCCGAGAAAGGCCTTGGATGTTAAAATGCAGGGCAGAAGACCAAAGGGAAGAC